CACATAAAGAATATATACTGATCCCTTATGGTTCTAGCATGTAAAGGTTTACCCTTACAGATAGATGCAATGTCTGTCTGCATCATTTACAGGCTTCCCATGCAATTTTTACAACATGCCCTGGAGGATCTCAAGGCACAGGAATTTGTGAGCTATGTGGAAATACTAGATTTGTTAAATGGACTGGAATTACTGGTGGTGAGTTTCAATAGCAAATGTGTGAATTGCCAAGCATCTGTAAACAAAAGTGTGCACCTAGATTTTCAGTCTCTAAATGTTCAGACGCTGGAATAACACGGAGAAGAGCAGTAAAAGATTTATTATTGAACAGTTTTCCAAGAATTTCACACATAAAAGACAAGACATAAAAGACGACTGCATAGAGCAGACCCATGGGCTTATGTGGCCTGCTGAGAATTTTGCTTGGACAAGCACAGTGCTCTAGTAAAGTCACGTTTTTGGACTCCCATCTTACACTTAACCACAGTACACATCTGTACAGAGCTGGGACACATGGAGGTTAGCTCCTTCTCAGCCATTTAAATACCTTTAAAATCAAAAATGGACTACCTCGAAATAACTAAAAATGGGTTAATTGAGTAAGCCAGAATGAGAACATACGGCATCAGATACAACAGCTATAAATGCTAGTCATGGTTTAAATATTCAAGTGAGAAAGATTTCGGATTAGTTTCTATTTGGCATACAAATGTCAAAATTCTCAATCTACAATGAGTAGCACAATTTGACTCATTTTTTTTTACATTTGTTTCCCAAAGGTTTATTAATTCTTATTTTCATTTTATTAATTATTATTTTTATTTTATATTTACATATATTTAGCACTTGATATCCAGGAAAGCTGAGCAACACCAGCAGGGTGCAGGACGTGAAGCATTTCACACAGTTTCCTTTGTGTATTTTTAGATTTTTGTCATCTTCCCATTTCACTTCAGATGGCATCCAGTGGAATTCCTGTTTTCTTAGGGCTTCCAAAAAACTGCTGATACTCCAGCCTCCTGTTTCCTAACATTATAAATGAAGCCTGTCATGCAAACTCCGAAGCAGTGAGACTGTTTGTGTTCCCTATTGTGCTTAAAAAAAGGCATTTTCAAGAGACACATGTCACCCTCAAAGACACAGTAAGCAATGCTTTGCCTGCAGTTGAAAGAAAAATGAGATTATCTTGGAAGAGTGTCAGTGTTATGCGTTCCCATCTCTAGGTGCAGTCACGCATCTATCTGTTGGGCTGATCTATTCCGATTATACCCTATTAGAATCATAACGACATTATATTTACAACACATTCATGCTGCTACTTGAAAGCATGCACACTGACGTTGGGAATAATATATAAAATGGTTATAGCTGTAAACTGAGCTTATTCTCATTCCTTGGTAACAAATGTTATAGTAGAAAATCATTTCAAAAAGCAGGCTATCAGCTTTACTTTCACATTGACTCTGAATTTTTGAAGTCAGTAACTAAAATAAAAATAAAATTGCCTACAAAACTTATTTTACAAAAGAGATGTGGCATTTATATTCAGAATATCTTTGATTTCCACAGATTTAAAGCTATTCATACAAGTACCAAACACATACATTGCAGAATAAATCATGTTGGGCACAGATGAGATACACGCAAGGATTAAAACAAATTTGCCACTCTTTCAAGGAACCCGGGTGAGTCCTGCTCTGAGTGAACTTGCAAGTGACAGGCCCGTGGGTTTCAATGAGAGTATAATTTGATCCATGCGATTACTTCTGTCTCTTTGATAGTGCTGTAATTGCTTCTTCTTTAATCCAAAACAACTGAGATAGAAAGGAAAAGCCACATATGTCTGTATAAGGAGAAGCAGTACATAATGTTAAAAAAATGTTTCATCAAAGGTGCAACCATTTAAAATGTAAAACAGATACTAGTGAGGTGGCAAATTCAAGCTCTTGCTCAGGGTTTTTATGTAAGATCTTTCAAGTATTCATTTGCCAGGAATATTTGCCTACATTTTTTAATGTATTCAGTCATATTCGGTTCTCTTTTATGTCCACTCCTCATGAATCACTTGACAGATGGACTTCCACAGGCTCATCCCTTTGGGGAAAGTAAATTTTAAGTCATAATAAGAACATAAGACCTGCCATGCTGGATCAGAGCAAAGGTCTATCCAGCCCACACCCTGATTCTGGCAGTAGCCAAGAGCAGCATGTTAGATTTGAACGGTAACGGCTTTGATCTTTCGGTGAGTGTTAAGTTGGTGACTAAGCAGAAAATGAGAAGAAATCCCAAGAGCAGAGCACTCCAAAACTCGGAGGGAAGCGCAAGCGAAGCCTTTTCTCCTCCCGCTCCACACGGAGCCCTCGCTCCCTGTCTGACAAGGGACGTGGAGCGGGCTGATGAGCCTTGGCCAAGGAGTCATCCTCGCAGGGAGTGCTGAGGTTGCTGAACCATAAACGCAGCCTTGTAACCAACAGCATTTATTTCTCCTTGTTATGTCCTCTCTCCTAGGTAGGTGAATGTGCTTTAGGGTATGAGGGCCAGTTTTTCTGTTGTAGAATGGAAATATATGATTAAACTCGAATGAATGAATGAAACATGGAGGGAAAATAAACGGTTGGAAGAGAGAGGAATGCACAGCAGACAGCAGGATGTCAGTGTGGGTGCAGCTGCAGTGCTAGCTAGTCCTACCTAAAGGGATAGCTGGCTTTAGAAATCCGGACTCACAGCACACATGCAGTGTCTACACCCCTTTTACACCCTCCACTCTTTTGCAGACTTAGAACTCCATCTTTTCTGTGAGATTGTACTTCAGAGTGCTCAGGATTTAAGTCATCCTTTTAATCACTGCTTTTTAATTACTGCCTCAATTAAATTTCATCTGTGATAACAGCAGCCCGCCCAGAGACCCACCAGGAATTCATTGTAAGTAAATTAAATAATTGTGTAAATTATAAATTTTAAACTTATTGGACGTTGCAGTAAAACCTATATCTGATGTACATGCTTTTTCTAACTTGGGCCCTTTAGGAAATCTTTGGGAAAAAAAAAAAGAGCTTAGTCTGCCAAAATCTACAAGGATCATTGATAATTTGTTGATCAGCCTTAGGTTCATTAAATACATGCATTTCATTATGTGATTAATTCAGAGGCAGGTTTGTAATCAGTGATGAAATGTTTAGGATCCTTCTGATCTGGCCTCCACAACCTCCTGCAGCTCATTAGAAAAGCTAATCAGATTACATTTTCCACTGTGCTGTTTATTGTAGTCCTAATAGAAGACAATCACTTTAAAATTACATACCTGGCAGGTAATTTCTAAAAGCCGTAAGCCACAGAAGCAGTGTTCTTCCTGGAACATTCCTCTTTGCTTTTCTCTATTAGGGAAAGGTAAGCAGCGGTTTCTGATAGGATTTGGGGGGATAATTTTGCAATATAAGATGCAATGAGATGCTGCTGAAAATATATTTGTGTCTTTGCCATGCTTCTTATCTTGTGATTACACTTTCAGAGATTATTAGTTTTCTACTGTATAATTTGATTATCTAAAAGCATTAAAAGCTTTCTTCTTGTGCTTTTATCTTGGAATGAGTAATATCAGGTTTAAAGAAAAAGTAAAGTTTCTATTAGATCTGGAGGAAAAGTATGATCGTACTGAATGGAAAAAGAACTGGGAACAAAGGTGAACTAAAATACAGGGCACTCTTCAGTGCCTAACATGCAGATGCTCCCAATATTCCTCCTAATGGGTAGCTGGATGGTGAACACAGCAGAGACAATTCACAGCAGAGTGTGAAACTCAGTTTTCCACCTATTTTGGGAAAAGGTCCTTTGAGTGAAGCACGTGTGGAGAACCTCGGACCAGGGGCCAGATCCAGGGTGGCAGAGTAGCTCCTCTGGTGCTCCATGCTCCTTTCCTGAGGAACCCGTCGTTTCTCCCTCGCGTGGTCACAAGTTCATCTGTGACTTGACTGAAGCTCTCCCAACATGTGCAAAGATGGGAACGTGTCCTCTGGTGCATCTGGGCAATGTCCATGGGCTAAAGAGATGGGAACGTGTCCTCTGGTGCATCTAGGCAATGTCCAGTGGCTCTCTGCTAGCATGTGGCCAGAATGGGGCTCGGTGTTTAATGAAGGTGCCAGTATTTGCACTGTGCAAAGGACATCATATGGTGGGCAGTGATGTAAGGAATAATTTCCACTGATTTATCACAATAAGGAACCTTTCTACATCTGCACCTTCCCTGCCTTGCCAAAAGCTGCTCCTTGCAGCTCTGCCTGCCTGCACTAAAGGCAGGCACATGTCCCCAGAGCACCATGCAGGAGTTTGCATTCCTAGCACAGGTGAGTGCGTGTCTGCCGGTGTGCTCCGATGGACCAGCCCCAAGGGCTGGCTCCTCCGCTCGGGATTTACCTTCTAGCAGCCGTGTGGGCTCATGCAGAAGCAGCTGGGTGTTTATAAAAGATGTCTTTACACTTTCAGACTGCTTTTGTAACACTCCAGTAGTTTGATGAAAATAGTTACAAGGTCATCCATGTTCCTGTAATGAAGTATTCCTAAATTAACTTGTAAGAGAGGACTGAAAGCTAGAAAGTCAAGCTTGGTCCAAAATTCAGATTTGTTTTTTAAACAAGCCTATTCAAACCAAAGATATGCATTAAGATGTGTGTATTTCTTTTTCTCTTTCTTCATGTAATTTATACCCATCACTTACATTTAAAAACTATTGCAACTGTAAGCAATGCAAAAGCTAATATGGATGAAACACAAATGTCCTGATTAGAGTTCTCTTTTAACATGCGTTTTCTGTAGTACTGAAACTGTTTCGGACATGTGATATTTAACCTGAAAACCTTTCAGGTGACGGTACCAATATTCGTTTCTTTGGCTCTGGTGCCATCTAATGGTGTGATCTATATCTCATTAAGTCAGTCATTTTAAGCAGCTAGTTCTCTACAGCCCTAAGGCACAAGTGTGGGGTGTTTTTGGTTTTTTTCTCTGTTCTAGGAATCTAGAAAATGAATGTTGGAATGTTAAAAATGGGTTACAACAGGCAAATATTAGAGAGAAATGTTGCCTTTTACTGCCACAGGATGGACTTTTTGAGCAAAGCACTAGGGACTACTTCTAAGATATCTTGCAATAATGAAGAAAAGCAGGCTTATACCAATATTAACCTTATTTTTTCTGTACTTTGTTCTGCCCTTGTAAACTAGCTATAGTTTAAAAATTACTGATTTTTTCTACGAAAGTATAAAAGTCAGAACAGATCCTTGGATTGTATTAATTTAAATACTATAATTTGGCTGCAGCTGTCCAAGCATCTATGGACGACACAAATTAGGCACTCTGAAACTCTGTGGATAAAACCACACTAGGTGATCACCTTAAACGTGCAAAATTCCTTACTCGGAGATTAACTTATCAGTCAGTCACAGAACTAAATGGAAAGCAACAACAAAATAATTTTAATTAGGATTTTACATGTTTAAAAGCACTGTTTGTGAAAGGACAAAGACAAATATGGAAAAAAATGCCTTATTGTAATAAAAGTTTCCTTAAAAATAAGCTATCTCCAACAGTGAGACTTGCAAAAACCAAACACAGAACAAAATTTATACCATAAGACAAGGTGAAATATGCAAAGAAGTTATTAATACTATAAAAAGAGTAAACCTTCCACTAGTCTAAATAAATATCTTAAACATATATAATATTCTTTATAAATAAATATTTGAATATTCACATTAAAAATACTCTCTGCGTAGCTGTAACTCCAAGCTACCCTCCACAGTATTTATAGTCAATCAATTATACACAAGAAATAAGGTAAGTATTTAAATATGGAAAAAAATATTTTAACAGGCTAACAAGTGAAACAGTTTGTTTCCAGGAAACAACTCTATATGAAGGAGATGTTTTAATTCGCTCCAGAAGACAAAAACTTAATACAAAGTGCACAAAAAGTGACCTGATATAACTCAGTGCAGGTGAACGCCCACATACGGATGGAATCACTGCAAAACTGGACAACTTAGTGCTAACCACACAGTATCGTTCCTTTAAAAATCTGCACAAAGGATGGTGTTTTCTCGAGCACGTATAGCTGGGTGACATTACACAACTCATGTCTTAGCACAAGAACATTTTTGGTATTGACTCCTCTGTGAAGCATCAGCGTGTGCATACGCACAGTACAAATGCCCGTTTAATACTTCTTAAGATGGCAAAGAAATGGTTCGTTAACACTACTCCTTTTTTCCAGGAGAACCTTTCAGGAATTGGGAAGGATGAGGCCTCCCTGTGGATCTAACTCCCTGCAGTAAAATCAAGCACCATGCACAGCCCCAAGTGCTGTGAGAGCAGCTTTGCTTTCCGCATCTCGGCTCAGCGAGCTCTGTGCAGCCCTCGCTGATTCTCACTCATTCCAGCCACGTTTTCCATGAGATGAACTGCCCTTTCTTTTCTGCTCTGCTAAATTCATTGGGTTTTTATTGTTGTTAATCACCTCTTAAGTGATGGAACTTTGTCTTAGCAGTTGTTTCGCTTTGTTGTTTTTTCACCTGTGCCTCGGGCACTACATTATGCACTGCTTTTCCTGTGTATTCACTTCTACAAAAATTATGAGAATCTTTGTCACCTGTTTCATTTATAACTCACTTTTCCTTAAATGGCAGATCATCTTCAGCTGCATCAAAATGGGGGGAGAGAGAGAGGTGGGATCATAGTCAAAAAATGTCACAAATACCCTTCCAAAACTGTCATTATCGATCGTTTCTGAGACTGGGATGGAAAACAAAGATGCCAGTGCTTGCCTTTATGCTCATCTCTCTGCTCCAAGCTACTGAGAAGGAAAAGCTGGAGATTCCTACAGGCCAGAACTATTATGACCCGCAGTCTCTATGCTAGTTAGCCCCTGAACACCTAAATCTAAGCCCTCTTCTTCTTCCAGTATATCTGAAAGAGCGTAACTATGGCTTTGATAATTGGGATAATATGACTTCCAGTTTCCCATTCTTGATGTCCAGCCTTCTTCATTATCCCTTTTAGATTGCCCCACACTAGAGATTTCTTCAGGTAACTCTATTTGTTTCTTATCGGTAGAATCATATAGGGTTTTTTGGACAGATAACTGATTTGTTCCACTGTCTCTAGAATTAACGTTCTCTGGTTCAAGCTGACTAAAATATAGATGTATAGAGCTCAAACAAGCTCCATCATCTTCCTTAGCATCTCTCTGAGCAGTTGAAAATTCAGCAAAACTGTTATCAGAATCAACATAATGAACCGTCCTAGACTTGTTCATATTGCTTTTGACTGGCAGATTTTCAAGTAAATTGCTTTTGAGGACACACAGGTTTTCTGTCTTATTCCTCTGAACATCCTCAAAAAAATCTTCTTTCCTAAAACCTAATGAATCTTCATGCCATGTAGCAGAAAAGTCAAGTCTTGATGACTGAGCGCTGACTTCTGCCTGCTGATGAGTTGGTAAGCATGTGTTATCATCTTCATTTTTTGCAATGCTTGACTTCAGTGGCAATGTGGTAAGCCCATGCATCATGCTAGACTTGGGAGAAAACTGATTTGGGGAAGCATTTATTGGGGGTGAAGTTACAGAATCGCAGCCGTTATCATTGAAGGGAATGGCCAGTCTGGCATCTTGATTTGCTACCTGTGAGGAGGAGAAAGAGGATGTGCTATGGGCTGAAGTCTGAAAGTCTGGGAATTCCTCATATGGCTTTGCAGGTGTCAGTCTTACAGATGTAGACTTAGGCAGGCAGGAGCAGCTGGGAGCATTCAACAAGGCTGGAGGAATCACAGCTGGCACCGAATCAACAGATTCTCCATATGGAGACAAAGTTCTCACAGAAACCTTCGGAGATACTTGGAATACTTCTAAATGGGACAAATCTACCAGGGCACTTCCAGCTGTTGGACATAAAATTTCATTCACTCTCTGTCCGTTGATGTAAACGGCATAACCAGTAACTTGCACTCCATTGGAAGATCCTTCAGCATCGATTGTAACTGGTAGCCAACTGATAAGCAAAGAATTTACTGACGGTCCAGGTTCCACTTGAACATCAAGGGGAGCGTGAGGTACTCCTGCAGATGGAGTGACAAACCTAACTGTTGCTGAATTTTGCCCTGACTTCTGGGGAGGATGCCACTTCGTATCCTTAGGCCAAGCTTCAACTCTTGCTTCATACTGAGTGTTGGGTTGCAAGCTTTGGAAAGTGTACCAGTAGACACCTGGCTTTGCCATGTCACAGTCCCTTTCATTAAGGTACACAGCATGCAAATAATTGCTGCTGCTTGGCATCCAAGTCACCTCTGCTGAAGTAGGAGTGATGCTCCTAAGTTTCAAACATTCTGGAGCTATATGAAAGTCTTTTCCTACGAGGATGGTACACTGCATCTTGTCTGAATTTCCTTTCTCTGTTACGCTTTGAACTGAAATTCGGTAGGTCTTATTTTTTAAGTCTAGGTCCTTGATCACTGCTTGAGTTTCAGAACTAAATCTCACGTTCTGGCTACAGAAATTACACTCAGTATCTACAGAAATGCTGTAGTTCTGCACCTCCTCCCACACACCTAGTGCGAGTGGAGGCTCCCAGCCAATAACAACACTTTTTGCAAATTGCTTCATTAGTGTGAGATTTCTTGGATAAGGTATGGCTGCATGACTAAGAGGAATCTCTGTGTCTCCTGCCCTGTCATTAAACCCACTGACACAGATTCCTTCCTCAAGAGCATCATTTTTTCCCCCACTGTGATCACTTCTGCTGCAAAAACTCACTTCATGATCTGCACTTTGCAAGAAATCACTTGGGTCTGGAGGCGCAGTCATCATCAGGTCGTCATCTGAAACTTCTTCTATCAAATTAGAGGGGACCAACCCTCTTCTGCCATCCATCAGTTCACCCTCAAAGAAACCGTCCTCGTCCATGTCTCCAAAGATATAAACGTATTCTCCAGCAGTTAGAGGAAGCTCTATTTCAGGGTGTTTATTAGGGCCATCGTAAGGATCATAGCTATATCGAGCTAGAAATACTCTAAGCTTTGCTGGTTGTTGTCTTGAAGACTCCAGAATTAAGGAATGTTTTTCTGTTACTGAGTCTTCTATCTCACTTACAGCGTCCTCCTCTGACATATGGCAGGATCTAGGACTGTCTGGTGTGGAATCAGATTTCACGGTACTTGTTGGGGTTTCTAGGACTTTTGTTGGCTTCTCAAATGTGTCAGAACTATTTTCACTGCAACAAAGATCATTGGCATCCTCTGCATAGGTCTGTGTTGTTGTGGAAAAACATGTGACATGTGGCAGCTTGGAAATGATATGGTTGGATTTTTTTACTTTCAATTGCTCAAGTTCCTGAGATAACACATTATATTGTTCAGTTTGATTCTGATACTGATTCTTTAGCTCTCTCACCTGGGCTTGGAACTGTCGCATGACTTCTTCGTGTGCAGCTTTTACTTCTCCTTGAGCCTTCTGCAAATGCCTGACTTCCTCTTCTTTCTTCTGTAGCGCCAGCCTTGTTTCCTCATGTTCATTCTCCAGCTGTTGTTTTCTTTCTGCTATTTTTCTCATGTCTTTCAGTTCATGCTCTATATCTTCCAGTTTGGCTTGAAGATGGTTTGTCTCTTGGATGGCAGAATTTCTCTCTTCTGTCACTTTTGTTAGTTTCACCTTCAGACCAGTGTTTTCAGATTGAACCTTTTCTGTCCATTCCGTCTTCCCAATGAGTTGAGAATTTTCTTTAGCAAGTCTGGCATTTTTATTCATCGCTTCCGTAAGCTGCACTTCTAGCTCTTCACATCTCTTCTGCGTTTTTGAAACTTCTTGTTCTAGGTTTTTGTGCTGCCTAAGCCTTTTATCGAGCTCTGCTCCCAAGTAGAGGTCTCTCTGCTGCTTGTTGACTTGATCTGTACTTAAAATGGTGTTTTCGTACTTCCCAGACACACTTTCTAAAAGTGATTCCCATGACTCGGAATCTTTTGTCAATGTGGTAATTTCTGTTTGTGTTTCCTTTGACAAAGATGAGCTATCTAAGCTCGAATCCATGCTTGTTGCCACTGTCTTTGTTACTAGACGGACTGGAGAAGAAACATCTTGAACACTCTTGGAGGAATTCAGAGATTCCTTTAGGCTCCTCACTGCAATCTGTCTCTGTGAGCATAACGCTTCTCTCTGAGATTTGCTCATCAAATGACTTAAGTTACTGAAGCTGAGACAGTATGAGCCCTCTTTGTCTGCAGCCAGTTTGGCCTGAAGTTCCCAAAACTTCTTCTGCAAGATTTCTATTTGCTTATCCTTCACCAGAAGAGTTCTAGCATGTTCTCTCATTTCGTTAGCTCTTTGCTGAGCATACGATTTCATGCACAGTTCCATGTTGGAGCTCTGGATGGGCAGTGGTATTGGAGTATTGATCACCTTGAGATTGGTCTCATGTAGTTGCCGGGATCTTTCTTCCAGTTGCTTGGTAATGACCGCTAGCTCGGCGTTCTTCTGCTTGAGCCTCTTCACCTGCTCCCGCACTTCTGGGAAACTTCTCTTCCTCAGAAGGCAGTTCTTGTTCTGAAGGTCACTGCATCTCTTCTCCAAGTCCTTCAGGGCGCTCTGGAGGTGGGTGTTCTCCTCCACCAGCTCCCTATACCTGCTGTCGAGCCGCCAATCCTGCTGCTGCCCCGCTCTCTGAACGCTCCCCTCTCCCACCGGCCCCGGGGTGCCCGGCTTCCCTTCAGGTGGGGAGTCCAGGCACTGCAGCACCAGGTCTTCCCCCACAGCCTCTGGCAGAAACTCCATGCTGTCCCCTTCCTCCTGGAGGGGGGCATCTTTGAAACCCTTGGGGATCATCCACTGCCCCACTGTGGGGCTGTCACTCTCCTCGAGCACTGCCTGGATTTGACCTAGTTCCTCCTCCTGCACCAACCGAGCCTTGACCCGGCTGCCATCCCTGGCGAGAGCCCGGCTCCCTTCGCCCTCCGGGCTGCAGGCCGTGATGAGGCTCTCCCAGGAGCAGGGCCGGGGGGTCCTGCTGCCCAGGAGGCTGCGGGGGCTGCGGCCGGCGGCCCGCGCCGCGCGGGGCG